CCTCCCTTTTGTAACAATCCATGCATGGAGTACACTATGTAAGCGCTGTTAAAGGACCTTTTTGCGCGAGCGGAGTTAAGTTTGGCTTTGGCATGCCATAATTTCAGTTGCTTTTTTTTTTTTTTAAATTTTTGATAGAATTATCTGATATACTATTTTTAGTCTTTAATATAAGAACTAGTTAGATATTTAATTTGGTCTTAAATATAAGATTTCAATCTATTTTGTTTTCAATATTTATTCATTTTATCTTCAAATAATCTTTATAGTGATTGTATATATTAAAAAATTATTACCAAGGGATAATTTAAACACACATAATTAATAAGAATAGTTGTAAATTCAACTTAGTTCTATATATAAGAACTCAATCTATTTTATTTACCATATTTATCTATTTTGTCCCCCACATAATTCATATAACTAAATTATACTAAATATTAATATTTCAAAAATTTAACGGATGACCATGTGTAATTAAAAAGGGATAATTACTATAAGGTCTAAAGAAAAAAATTTTAATTACCAAAAAATTTCAATAACAAGTGATAAGTTTGAGCTGGTTATCATTTTCTAGTCTAGAACTTGTCATTGTTTACTCTTCACTTGTCAATTGACTTTAAGGTAATTAAATCTCTTCCTTAAAACTTAATTATAATTCTCTCATTAAAAAACTTGACATAATAAATTTTAAGAAACTTAATGTAAATATTATCCTTAAAATTGCTCTCTCTCTCTCTCTCTGCCATCTAAAATTACTCTATCAAACTAAGGGATTGATTAAGAATTAATTTTTATTGTTCAATTAATAAGTTTTTATTTAATTGAAAAAACCACCCATCTTTCTTATCTCTCATATAAAATCTTTTTTCCTATACCACCCATATTTATTAGGAAATTTTTATCTCTAACTACTAAATTTTAATGATTAAATGATAAGGTTATTTTTCAAAAAGGGTCTCGAATTCTCCATAAATCAATTACAAATAACCAGTGTACATACTTTTTAAAAGAAATTTCTAAAATTAGTTAAATGGGTCTTATATTTTAGAATTAAAAAGTATGATTAGTGACATTCATACATTACACAACACACTACTACTCCTATTTCGATGCCAAACAGATATAAATAACTGGCATTATTTATAATTTAATACAAGCATATTAAATATTTCATATGTTTGTACGTTGTACCTTAAATTAATCCATTTTGGTTTTTTTTAATGTGCTATTTTATTTTTTGGTTTCCAACATTATTGTGAGTATTAACAAAATAAACAAAAATTTACATCCAAACTAAATAAATAAAAATATAAACAATGCCATAAGATATTAGGATGACTACAAAGTTCAAAACATCCAATATCATAACATATATAATAAGAGAATAAAAAGGAAATGGGCCTGATGTCTCCAAATTTGAGGCCCATATTTTTGGATTACTGGCTCATTTTAATTCTAGTACCAAGGCTAGGGGGCAATGAAAAATCTCATTTGCCTTGCATAAACATTGATATATAACAGGGAACATAACAGTAAAATACCCTCAAAATTACTAAATGATAAATTTGGATAGGTAAATTTTAAAATTTCAATTCAGGCCCCAGGTACTATTTTGGAGTTTTCAAATTTTGTAAAATGACACCATTATCTTTACTGTCGGTGACTACTTCCATATAGCTATTGACTACTTTATTTTAACTCTTGACTACTTTTGTTTTCAAAGTTCTAGTAACTATAGTTATTGACTACACATGAGTAGTAAATCGCATTATTAGAGTAGTCAGTAGTTTAACAAGAGTAGTCATCAAACTTTAAAGGTAAATGTAGTCAGTAGCTAAAAAAGAGTAGTCAGTAGCTAAGAAAGAGTAGTCACCGGAGCTCTGATGACCAGTCACCGAAGTTCCGGTAACATGTTATCAGAGTTTAAAAATAAATGTAGTCAATAGTTAAAATAGAATAGTCAATACATAAGAAAAAGTAGTCACCGGAGCTCCGGCGATAGATCACTTGAGCTCTGATGATCGGTTGCCGGAGCTCCGGTGGTTGGTTGTCGGTAGGGTTGCTAGCATCGGAGCTCCGACGGCCGGAATTGCTGAGGTGGTAGTATTTAAAAAAAAGTAAAAAAAAAAAATAGTAAAGGGCATTTATGTAATTTTACGGGATTTAAAAATTCCAAAAAAGTACTTGGGGTCTGAATTGAGATTTTGAAATTCAGATACCCTCATTTGTCATTTAGTAATTTTGAGGGTATTTTAGTGTCTTTTTCCCTATATAATATCTTCTATCATTAATATAAAACATAGTTAACTGATTTACGGAGATTAAAAAAATTAGTTAAATTAATTATTTGTAATAAATAAATATTGTCTTTCCTAAAATACCTTTATTAATATCATATTTTGAATTGATAGTAACTTCTTAACATATGCAATTACTACGCGGATTATTTGAGGGCAAAATAGATAAATATTGGAGACAAAATGAATTGATATATTATATTTAGAATCAAATTAAATGTTAAATTAGTTTTATATTAGGAATAAAGATAGTAATATACTACTTTCTATTCTAATTATAAGATCTCGTTTATAGTTTACAAACATGATCTTTTAACTAGGATCGGAGGTAGTGCATGCTAAATTATTTTTTGAAGTTGGAATCGTGTATAATTTCAAACCGCGAATTTTTTATCCCCTAATGGTTTCCCATATAACCGTGTCGACTGTTGAGTTTTATGCAAATAAATATTCTAAATTTTAAGTTAGTTGTATATATATAATAAACAAAACTAATAATATGAGAGTTATTTATATAAATGTAAAAATTTATAGAGATTCTTTTTTTGGGTAAAGTTTCAACGGTTTTAAAAAAAGTTCCTAAACTTTAAAGTCTACACACACTTTTTGTTTTCCATATTCCATTCGTGATATATAGTTTTTAAGTCCACTCGATGATTTAAGTAATTATGTGATAGTTGGGGATATTTGAAAACGGATTAAAGTGAAGCCCAAAGGTTTACAATGAGAGAATACCTAACACTCAGTTTTTATTTATAAGTCATTTATACTCTAAACTCGTAAATTAAAACATGTATTAAATTTATAATTTTTTCACCTGTGCCCTTATTAAAGAAAATGTATTAAAACTATGTTTTATATTCTTCTAACCTATTTATTTTATCTTCCTATACATTTATTAAGGTAATAAGGATAAATTTGAAAAAGGCTCATTAAGTACCCTATAAATGACTTATATTTAGGAATAATTTTTTATAAGTGACCTATAAATAGGAACAGAGTAGTATTGATACTAAATATTCCTCTGGTCCTAAATATAAGACCTATTTTGTAGTGTAATACAACTATTTCGGTCATAAATATAAAACTCATTTTGTAGTGTAAAATTTAGGGTTAATACTACCTTCGGTTATAATTATAAGAGTTAGTTGATTAATTTGAGAAGATTAAGAAAAGAAGTTGATTTAGTTATTTGTCATACATATGTGTTGTCTTTCCTAAAATATCCTTGTTAATCAAGTGTATTGGCTAGAACTACCATTCTTAGAAGGACTATTTTGAAAAAAATACCTAAATATTAAAGACAAAATAGCTTGTGGTCTTATATTTAGGATTAAAATAAAAGTCAAACAAGATCTTATATTAAGGATGGGAGGTAACATAATATTTGGTTTATCAAGTTTATCCTTATTTTGATTTTAGCCCATCAAGTTTCAAATTATAGGTTTTGGTTCCTTAAGAGGCAAAATGATCTAAGTTTTTATTAGATTATAGAGACTAATACTTTAAAAAAAAACTTGAGGGATCAAAATCTATAGTTTGAAACTTGAAGAACTAAAACCAAAATAAAAATAAATTTAAAGGATTAAAGTTTATATTAACTCTTAAATTTATTTAAAAGTTTATAACTTTCTGCACCAATTGCATTAATTAATTTATGTAGATAATTATTTAAATGATGTGCCAACCAAAGTTGGAGAGAAGTAATACCACCTGCTGCGTCCAGTCTCTGGCTCTCTGCCCCCCCGTCCACCCTTTTGCAACAATCCATGTATGAAGTACATTATGTAAGCGCTGTTAAAGGACCTTTTAGCGCGAGCGGAGTTAAGTTTGGCTTTGGCATGCCATAATTTCAGTTACTTTTTTTTTTTTTTAAATATTGATAGAATTATCTGATATACTACTTTTAGTCTTTAATACAAGAACTAGTTGGAGATTTAATTTGGTCTTAAATATAAAACCTTAATCTATTTTGTTTTAAATATTTATTCATTTTATTTTCAAATAATCTCTATAGTGATTGCGTATATTAAAAAATTATTACCAAGGAATAATTCAAACACACATAATTAATAAGAGTAGTTGTAGATTTAACTTGGTTCTATATATAAGAATCCAATCCATTTTATTTGCCATATTTATCTATTTTGCCCCCCACATAATTCATATAATGATTACACATGTTAAAAAGTTTAATTCCAAACACTAATTTATTATAAATAATTAATTTAACTAATTTTTTTATATTTGTAAATTAGTTATCCAGACAGGTAGTATTGTTGAATCAAGTTCAAGGATTATTCAGTTTAATGCTTGATAACTTGTCCCATTAAAAGTTGTCCTAAGGTGTACTCCTCTTGTCTTATTTATAAGGTAGAGAGAGAATATATTTTTTTATCCTGTTTATAAGGTACTTAAAGAATTTTTTTATATGAATGTACAATTTTACCTTCCGTATTGATTTTGTTTACATGAAGTATGTGTAATATATATTAAATAGGGCTAAAGTTGAAAAGTTGTTGAATTTTAAATAAGAGCCAATAAAATTTAAATTTTTTCTTAATTTGTGTAAAATATGTTGGAAGTAACTTATAAATAGAATTAGGAGAAAACCCTCGTTCTCCAATCAAAGAGATTTGGAGTTGCTAGCTAATTGATTCTTGACTAGGTAAGCATGAATTTTAGTGCTCTAATATCATGTAATCTTAAAATTTTCTTTTAATATTAAGAAAAAGAGAGTAAAAATAAATGTTTTGTGATGGGAACTTTGGAAATAACTATGGAAATACAAATATAAACTTTATACATCAAAATTTGAGAGAGCAAAGAAATGAAAAGGAAGAGGGAAAAACAGAAGTGAGAAACTATAATTTGGTCCACTCATCGCCATCAATGAAGCTAAGGGAAATAAAAGGCTCAGCTTCCTCATCGGTTAGTTCTTTACACCATGAGACTCTGCCTGCGAAGCTAGCTCCTTGTCCTGTGCACTTGTATTGCCCATAAAATACTGTCCTGTGGGCCCATTCAATCACATATTTAAGTCACCCTACATGCCCATGTGCTTATAAATAACATGGAAAATGACACTTTTTTTCACAAAAAAATTCTCAAAATTTGCAGATACCTAATCACTATGAAGTCTAACTGAGATTGAATTTTGTAACAAAATCACCTAAATGCCCTTAAATTCTTAATTTGGAAAAAACAAAATGACAACAACAGTTTAATAAGTAATAACTTTAATTTATCAAGTAACAGCAATTAGGATGATGTTAACTTTTTTTGATGAGATCTATTGTAGAATATCAATGGACGGAACAATTTATAAATAACAATTCCAACTTATCAAATGAAGACAACAACTATAGTAGTGACCACTAATTTTATTGAGGATAATTAAGTCATTTCACAAAAATTAATGGGAAAATTACACTCAGGTCCCATAGAGCACAATTAATATCAAAAAGGTCCCTCGAAATCACGAAATGATTCTGAAGTCCCCAGAGACCTGTGTGTAATTAATTCTAATTATGAAATTACCTACTTACCCCTGTTAATTTGAACCTATTTACAACCTCAACAGTGGTTGTTAACAACCCGAGAAGAGGTGGTTAACAACCTCAACAACGCCTCTGGCATTCCACAAAGTGAGTTGTCATGAGCACTGCCGAGGTTGTCAATCACGTTTTCTCAGGTTGTTAACAGCCACTGTTGAGATTGTAAATGAATTGCTGCAATAAAATTAGAACCTATTTACAACCTCAACAGTGGCTGTTAACAACCCGAGAAGAGGTGGTTAACAACCTCAACAACATCCCTAGCATTCCACAAAGTGAGTTGTCATGAGCACTGCCGAGGTTGTCAATCACGTCTTTTCGGGTTGTTAACAGCCACTGTTGAGATTGTAAACGAATTGCTGTAATAAAATTAAAAGGGGTAAATAGGTAATTTCACAATTAAAATTAATTACACACAGGTCCCTAGGGACTTCAGAATCATTTCGCGATTTCGAGGGACTTTTTTGATATTAATTGTGCTCTGTGAGACCTGAGTGTAATTTTTCCAAAATTAATTTCAAAATAATCCTTAAGAACTTCATATGAACTAAGCCATTTTAAAAGACCATTTTGAGATTATCATATTTTGATGATTCTTATACATCTTTCTCTCAATTTCAACATTAAGTATTTGGGGCTTGTGCTAATGGAATTCAACCCATAACCTGTCATCACTGAAGATGAAACTTTAGAGGTGTGTAAGATGACCAATGACTACTAAAAAAAAAAAATCATTTTCAATTGAGTTTTAGTGATTTCCAACTGGGATTTTATTATTTCTGAGTTGATCATTTCCAACTCATTGTCCTTTATTGCCACTATTCTACTTGCAAGGCCCTCAAGTGTCATTATGTTACTCTAAAAATAGGCTTAGTTATAATGGCACAAGGATTCTTTTGTCCTTGACAAGCATGACATTTTGCAGAGAAAGAGAACAACACATGATGCAGAGATGAGGTCTATTTTGTTAGATTGGACCCACCTATTCTTACATCATTCTTTCTCCACCCAACATTATGCTTTCCAAGCATAGAAGCCCATACCCGCATAACCTAAATAAATAAATGAAGTATGTACAACACATTACAAATAGAAGCCTAGAAATTAGCCAATTAGGTGGGTGCCTCGTGCCGTTTTCAGATCTCATTTCATTATATATATACCGGCGTGCTTCAATTCCCTGCCTTTTCTGTATGTAAGCCAAAACGAGCACACAGCTAGCTTGGTGCCTCTATATTAAAAAAAAAAACACACACACACACACACCACACTCTCTCTCTCTAAATAGTAAATATATATACCGTGCAACTAGAACTATTAATTTTTTTTAGCATTAATATAATTTTTAACATCTTAAGTTTGTTTTCATTTTGATTTTGATTCCTTAAATTTTAAATCATAAGTTTTGGTTCATTAAATTTTTTTCTATTTAAAACACTAGTCCCTGTAATTTAATAAAAGTTTAGATTATTTTGTCTTTTAAAAAAATAAAACTTAAAGTTTGAGAGACTAAAATCAAAATTCGTGTAAGTTAACTGTATTTTTTATTATACTCCTCTTGGATGCCTATTTAAAGCGGTACTAAAATGGGTACATTTCTTGACTCGGATTTGAATATCAATTCTCCGCATTGCCTGAAACTTGCACTAAATCCAACCCAAGTTAGTTTAGAGCTGCTAAATCTTCTATCCTTGAAAAGTTTGCATCTTTTTTAACGTACAAGTTGTGGGGTGGACAACAGGTAGATTTGCATCATCTGAGAGGTGTGTATTTGTGGCCTCACAATTTCTGTAACCAGCTGCGTACCTAATACACTCACGTTTTGTATGGTGACAATAGGTTTCTTCATTATTAAAAGAGAGAAAAGCTGGTATGGTTGATGATAGAGACCGATACACATGCTTGTCACTTGGTATTATTCTTGATAAAGCTTGCAAGTATGGGAAAAAGTCTCTGCTCCTAAATTCTCCACATCACTAACAATATGACAAAAAGAAAACTTGTATCTATCCATCTAGCTACCTATCTATCTATCTCATATTGCTTCTGCAACATAAGATTATACTAAAGTCACCGCCCCATTGTCCCCACTAGTCCTAAAAGAGAACTTACAAGTTCAAACAATTAACACCACCAAAACAGAGTACTCTGCTTCTGAAGTCGTTTTCTGTGCAATTCTAGCTAAGGCTCTTTATGGTTTAGGTTTAAGAAGGTGGAGACTGTGTTAATAATGTGATGACACTTTAAGGCAAAACTATACATAACTTTCCTAAACATTATGTCATGTGCAGATAATCTCATTAAACTTTGGAATTTTGCAATGAATCTCCATAAATTCTAACATTTATGCAGATAGCCCCCTTACTAATATTTTGTTCATTACTTTTCTGAACATATATCAGAGTTTAGGAGCTTACATGTAGATAACTCAAAGCTTTGAGGGGGTTGGGAGAAAAAATAGGGACCAGAGAAGATTAGGAGGAAAACTGGCAAATGTAACAATTTACTATTTTGTTCTCGTCCGAAACCTAGGGTGTGGAACTAAGAATATATGCAGAGCCTACATGGGAGAGGAAATCCAACCACCAATAACTGTTCTCTTGATCCAATGGTCTCTAAAACCGTGGAATGTAAATAATTGGATCTCTCAAATCAATGTTGGCCGTGGATCCCATTATGAAGGCAATGCAGAGAAACGAAACCAAGTCAGAAAGATGAACATAGAGATGAGATAGCCATGGGACAAGTTATCTCCATGTCCTAAGGTCCTGACCCTAAAACCTAGAGAACCTTACACATTAAACTCCGGTTTTGAATAGCTTATAAGCAGCTTTTCAATCGTAAAGTATCTGAGAAGAGTTTTGTTTTAGTTTACATAAAACGTTCTTATAAGTACTTAAATAAGCTAATCCAAATAAGCACTAAACCAGACACGTTAGTATAGAGTAGAAGGTAGAATTGAATGTGGGGTTTTCTTTTTCTTACAGAAAAGAGTTTAAAGATGAATGAAGAGAGAAAGAGAATGAAGTTACGTACATTTCTCGGTTGGGGTCGCCCCAGTTATACCAGCCCTTGGGAAGGATGATGTTGTCCATGTAAGTATAAGCAAAAACCACACGAGAAAATGGACCCCAAGCCCTTCCAAGGTACAGTGCTCCTGAACCTGTGACTTTACAGTGCACAAATGAGAACCCTGTGTCCTCCAACATGCTGCTTCTTCCTTGTGCTGTTAAGGCCCCTATCTTCTGTGCTATCGCATGCACGTGACATCCCTGCACTCTCACGTGACATCCCTTCTTCAAATTCAATCCCCACACAACAGAACAGAAACAACCATATGATTTATGAATTATCTCTAACCTCAAACAGAGACAGGGCGTTCCCAAATATGAAATCCACAGAGCCTTCAATGTAACAGTCCTTGTAATAATGTCTACCCTCATGGTCATATAATGTGTCCTGTGCTCCTAGGATTTTGCATCCGTAGAATGATGCTGTGTCTGCTGATACCCTTAATGCCACGGCTTGCTTCCCTACTGCTCCTGGTGCTGGAACTGGGGTTGTGTTCTGCAATATTCTCAATCAGAATCTTAAATTAACAACAGATATATAGAAACATCATGTGTGTTTGTTTGGTTTTAAATCTATTTTACTTACTTTGAATGTTATGTTCTTGGCGATGAAATAAGGTGAGTTCACTCCAAATGTTGCAGAACCATATGTTCCTAATGGCTGTCCTCTGGGACCTGGTGTTTGAGCTGTGTCACCCCATTGAACTATGGTGCTATCTGCTCCTGCTCCTTCTATGGTTATGAAGGATTTCATGGGAGGGATGTACACTTTCTCACTGAAAAAGAAGAAGAAAATCACAGAAAATTTAATTCAACCCAATGCACAACATGAGACATTGACAGAACAAGAAGAAAAGACAGCATTCCTTGGTCAAACACCAATCTCATAGCATTCCAATTTGAAGGAAAAAACACAAGAACAAACAAAAGTTACTGCTAAACTGTCTTTTATCACTGTTTAACAATGAAAAAAACTGAGAATAGGGACAAATGTACCAGAATCCATGTCTTCCAGGAACAACAGATTACGTTGTCCAAAGCAGGGAAGGGAAAAAAGGAACAGAAAAATGGCAGGAAGTAAGTAAGATTCATTTTGAAACATAGCAGAAGTAATTGTACTCACGTGTAAACACCTGCATGAACCTTAATTACCACTCTCACGAGATTGATGCCAGGAAGAGAATCAATGGCTTCTTGAATAGTTGCAAAATCTGCTACGGCAGGATTCTTGGAGACGTGAAGTGTGTAAGAAGGAAAAAGCTTGTTTTTTGCAGTCTTAAAGACAGAATGCTTGAGGCTACCAACAAAGTTAACCCATTTCATGAATTGCTGCTCTGAATTCTGGACTTGGGTCCTGTTGATGGATAACCCAAGGCCCGGAAAACGGCGGCCGGGTCTAAGTCCCTTGGTATGGCACAATGTTGCAGAAGGATTCTGCAGAAGGAAAAGAAGAACAAGAAGAAAGCAAATACATTGAAAATTCAACATTCTGAGACAGAATGTGGCTTTGGAATTTCAAAAGTGTTGTTGGGGAATGGCTTATGGCTCTGTATGTGGGGTTTATACAAGTTTAGTTCATTCTTGTGCTGTGTTTTGGTGTGAAAGTGGAGGTAAAGTGCAAGAGAAAGAGGTGTCACGG